TGTTTGAGCATGTTTCCTGACTCCGACGCGTTTGTTTCCTGACGCTCCGACACGTTTGTCGCCGGGCAGTTGGTAGCATCGTTTTCGGCTAAGCGGGTCAGTTCGTCTGGGTTACAAATCGAGATCGGCTGTCATCGTTTCGGACATCGATCGAGATTTAAAACTACCAAAAACGAGAGCCTTTTGCCAAACGTTTCGGGCAAGGATCGAGATCATAAACGTGCCAATCGTTTCGGGCACTGATCAAGATCCTAAGGCGATCATCCTAGCTAAACGTTCGAGCAAGGATTAACATCATCGAGGTGCCAATCGTTTCGGGCACCGATCGAAATCCAGTATCACTCGTATTCTGCCAATCGCATCGGGCATTTGGAATAAGTGAAGTTTAAATTAATTTTTAACTTCATGCACGAACTCGGACGAACGACGCACAAAGTTCGTACGAGACGAAACACGCGGACGAAACAAATTCCCGGCGAACGGGCATCGGGAGCCTCCACAAAGGCGAGAACTGTTTCGTCATTGGAAAAAATAAATCAGGTTTTCTTATTGAAATCATTGCTGATACATTTCTTTAAACGTAACACCCGTTCTCCCGGCTGAACCTTGTTAGGGCCACCTATCCCTAACAGTTGTATTATTAAAGGAATAAGTCAATAGTGTTCGATCTATTGGACTATTAAAATTGAAACAATAGTGTTTTATCTATTGTATTATTATAAATTGAGTTCATAGTGTGCGATCTATGGAACGACAAGAATAGTTGGCAGTTGGCTAATATTCTTAATCAACACGAAGATGGCAGTTGGTAGTTGACCACTACAACAAAAATTTAGTTATTGGGCTAATAGTGTACGACCTATTAGACTGCAACATACTGTACTGACGGTGTGCGATCCATCAGATTATACAAATATGGGATTAATGGTGTGCGATCCATTAAATGTTGGAAAAGTCTGAACATTTGGAAAGAACCATTCACGTTCGAACATTCGACGTGGTAACTTCAGAGCTAAACGATTCAATTCATCATACGAGAAAAGATCGAAAAAGATAGGAACTTTCATGTGGAAAGTTTTGATCATACATACTTCTAAAAAAATGACAAATCACAAAAGACAAAAATTTTTTTGGTATCGTGTATGTCCCAATGAACCATTCAACTTTAGTCTCAACACATTTGACGTATCATTAAAAACAACAAAGATGTTTGAGGTGCAAACGATACGTGACTCACCCTATAAGTCCCAGAACTAATACTTCGCCCGAAAATGAGGAAGAGCTGAGATGATTTTAAACAACATTTTCCTTTGTGAAAAAGTTGTCCGAGGCGTAGTTGTCGAGTTATTAACAAAAATCCCCGACCAATCAGAGCGCGAGTACACAAGCTCGTGACGAGAGCATAGGACTAATGTCAGAAGAAAGAAAGTGATTACTCGTTACTTACGTTTACTGAACAAATGTATCATACTCAATGAAATAACTAACAACTTTACAAATTGTAATTTCTGTAGAATAGGTAAAATTATGAAAAACGTGAAAAGAATCAGAGTTGGTCTTACTTCTTCGTTGGTAAGTGCACCTGCTCCTTGATGAACGTCAGTGGGTCAATGAGTTGATCTTCGGCATTCGAAGATAAGACGCATGGCTCGCAGCAACTGATGCTTGGAGCAAGTCAGTGCATTTACAATTTTATGGCAAGGTCTCGAACAGCGCGCGCCCAGCAGGATGTGTATGACAAAAGGCAAATTCAGTCGTTCGCATCTGGTAAGTGCATTCCTGGATGCTGTCTCTTGTCATCGGTTCGAGTGTGCTGTACATGGGAAATTTTTAAAGATGTCAAGAACACGAAGGTTGGGTTCAGTTGAAAAATATAAACATATTTTCTGTAACGAACTAGTTCACCGAGTGGGAAAAGATTTTCTGGAAGAAAATTTTCGAGCGAGCGGTCATTTGGCTTTGCCTTGCGTTACTAAACAGAACGATGCGTGTTCTAACGAACACGGAATATTTTAATATGTTCGTCATTTACGCGTAAGTGAGTTATAATCTGAGAGCGGCAGTGGAATTGTTCCGCGAACAGTATTCCGATCAGAACTAAGAATTAAAATAAAAACGTGTATGTAAATTTTCAATTGCAAAGTGCAATGTGACAGTGGATTTGTAAAATGAAAAGTGGCAGTGAATTTGGAAAATGTAAAAGTGACAATTTTTGTTTTGTGAAAATTTGCGAGTGAGGAAGTGACAGTGATCGTGATGATAAGGAAAAAGTCGTCAGGTGCAGGTCACTGACTTACTCCAAGCATCAGCTGCTGCGAGCCATGTGTCCTATCTTCGAATGTCGAAGGTCGACCTATTGTCCCATTGACGTTCTTTTAGGAACAGGTGCACTGACC